GATACAGTAAATGTAGTTAAATGAGAAAACAAAAAGCTGCAGATAGTATAAAGTGCAGCTACTCAAAGGTTCCAGAACTTTATAGTGGTCAGCAGATTTTGCTTTTCCTGCTTTGTCCAAATGCTTGCCCGTACTAACAGGCAAAGCTACTGCACCTCTTGATGGTGCTGAAATCTGCCCTCCTCTTCCCGCCTCCTGTACATTCCTATTGACCAGTGAGACAGGCCATTATATCAACGCGGAACGTGTAGGGACATTGCAAGCTCTAGTGCCACCTAAAAGTGTTGGAGCTTTGTCTGCTATGTGTGTGTTTCTAACTCTCTAGCTACTAACCATGCTTGTAGGTCCATCATTGGTTCTGTTTGTAGCTTTGTAATTGGCCCACAGACCAGTTCCTCTTCACTGCTTGCTTAGAGCTGTTTGACTGGTGACCATACAGGTAAGTATTAAAGCAATATTAAACCCAAAGCAAACATTTATTATATCACAACTTACCAGTTCTTAGATGCGATGGCTGCCTTATTTTTAGGCTTTCTTTCTTTTCACCTGGTGATCCAGCCAGTACGCCTGTTTCAAAAGATTAAGTTCTCCAGCAGCTATATTAGTTAAAATGATGAGACAAACCATTTAACACTGACGGGTGTTTACAATGGTCAGATTTTATTTATGTAAAACATTTATCCAAAAAGAAAAAAAAAAACGTTGCTGTAATTGATTATAAAGTACTAGCTGGAGTTTGGCTTCAGTTTGTGCATCTCAGTCTGCTAGTACATCAGCAACACCCTTCCCCAGACTGACAATGCTGCGGTCTGCTGTGCCTCCTGTGCAACTTGATCCAGAGTGTAGGCACTCTAACACAGGGGGTGTGCCAGATCAAACAGAGGGAATAAAGCCTAAAAGGTAAAAACAGAAGGGAATAAAGCCTAAAAATTTAAATTAATGTAGCCATTACATCTACAGATTGGTAAGCTACAATATATTACATTTCTTTATTTTGGGTTCAATACTGCTTTAACAGTGTTTTTTTTTCAGGTTCTTTTTTTCCCCGTTTAACAGTTTTTACAGGAAGATCTACATCATTAATTCAATATCATTCTTCATTCATGTAACCAAAGGTAGCCGTTTTAAACTATTACCCTTAACTGCTTCCTTTAGTGTTGTCTTTTCACCTATACACAAAAGAAAATAAAACAATGTCTGAATAGAAGCAGCAATTAGATAAAGCATGTTGTAATCACTATACCTGTATGTACAGGAAGTAGCCATCATTGAGGCAGATACAAATGCAGAGAGTCTAAACCCAGCCGAAGATGGTTTGAATCCCTGTCGGTTCAGCAGTTGTGTAGCCCAATTGTATCCAATTCGATTGTTGTACGACTTGGGTACAACCAGCCTCTCAGATTTTTAATGCGATTATTGCTAGCAGCTATAGCCGCTAGCAGGGTCAGACTGACCATTTGGAAACTCGGGCACTGCCCGAGGGCTCGGGGTCAGTAGGGGGCCCCATGAGATGCCCCTAATACCTTTTTCATAGGCTTTTTTGAGTTTGGGCAAGGACACAGGGGCCCCATGAGTTGTCAGTCCGCCCCTGGCCACTAGCAATAATGACTGTGCTCTTCCAGGAGGGACAGTTCCCCCTTTCTGGGAGAACACAATATCTTTGCTGGAGGGATTCCCCCATCAACACTGAATGTGTTGATGGGGGAATCCAGCGATTTTCTTTCCTACAACCCGTGGTTATCCGGAGAGAATATGTAGGCTGCCACTGTTGTTTCCTGGTTGCCATCAGCTTCAATACGTTTTGATTCACTGTTCAGAAACAAATCTGCAGATCATTAGTTCTGACTTTACTTACCACATGCTGGTTCTCAGACAGTGACTCACATATTGGAGCCAGAGACAGCCAGGCAATTATCATTTTTAAAAGGAGTCCAGCAATGGCAGCCTACCTACAGTATCTCAGGTTAATTAACATTCTGCTAGCTAGTACAGATCATGCTACTCTGCTTCTGAAAATATTTGTACAATACAAGATAATCCCAGTTTACACCACGGAAACCGGACTGACTATAACTTGTAACATGTTGCTCAGTGTTACATAATTGCCACTACATCATTCACAGGAATTTGAAAGACATTTGGGGCTATGTACTAAAACTGGAGAGTGCAAAATCTGGTGCAACTCTGCAGAGAAACCAACCAGCTTCCAGGTGTTAGCCCCCCGGTCACATTGAGTGTGTTTTGGCATGCAATTCCAGGTGACTTGCAAATCGTATGCCAAGTCGCACCCTATTGTCCACAATTACAGCAGTCAAATCGGTGTGGTTCCGACTTGGCCGGAGCCACATCAATTTCTAAAGTAGTACATTCACTTGAAATCGATATGTCCCCCTACTTTGAAATCGTGCGAATTCACTGTAAGTCGCACGATTTCAAAGTCGGGCTTGATGTGAACGGGGGCTTATTGTCAAAGCTTAATTGAACAAGCTGTTTGGCTACCATGCACAGCTGCACCAGATTCTAAGTGCTGCAGTTTTACTCATCTCCCTCACTGTCATTGTTACATAATCAGTCCAACTGAAAAGTTTTTATTTAGTATAAAAAATATTTTCACTGCGTTTGATTTATTAAAGCTGTAGAGAATTAGCAATTGCAAAGTAAATGGCTATGAGCTTAGTGAAAAAGATGAAGCTATGTTCACATCAATCATCCAATTGTATTCTAACAAATAAATGTTTTTTTAATTTCCCTTGCACTGAATTAGGTATTCAAAGTGGATACAACGTCACCTTGCACTGAGCAAAGTGAACATCAGGGTTAATGTACTAAAGGAGTATAAACTGTTCACTTAGCAAAGTGAATGGTCATTGAGCTTCATAAATAAGATGAAACTGTTCATTTTCAACCCAATCATATTCAAGGAAAACAAGTTTTTTTCCCTATAAAAAAGGTACATTGTATTAAAGTGGGCTCTCCCCAAAAAATTAAAAGTCAGCAGCTACAAATACTGTAGCTACTGACTTTTAATATAAGGGCACTTAGCTGTCCCAGGGGTCCGGTGATGTCCGGCCTTCTGGATTCACAGCCGGTTTCCTACTGCGCATGCAGGGACCTGGGAAGTATCCAAGAAGGCTGCGGGGTTAGAAGTGGGGCCAAACTTCTGGCTCAGATCAGCTCAAAACCAGGTACCTGCTACCCCCCAAAAAGTTCCAAATGTGGCAGTAGAGGGGGAGAGGAGGCAGACCTGTGGAACTTCCCCTTTTGGGTGGAGTTCTGCTTTAATCTGAACGTAGCTTCACTGTGCTCGGTAAACATTCACTTTACTAAGTGAACAGTCTCTACTCCCTAAGGCTCTGTTCACATCTGGTGATTTGGGATTGCAGACAGGATTGCAGTGATTCTGCCAATGATTCCAAGTTGCACTGCAATAGTGTCAAAACACACTGTGCGTGTTTCAGTGCCATTGATTTTTAATGGCACCTAAAACAGTGCAGTTTTGCCACAATCTTTGAGCGATAAATCGCATCACTCCTGCTTCTCCTTGGGCAACAACCTTCGCACAATGTGGATTGCCATCATTTATCATGCAGCAAAACCACACCGTGTTGAAGTGACATTAAAAATTAAAGTTTTGCCACTATTGCAGTATGATTTAGAATCGCAGCGATTCTGACCACAATACTAAATCTTCAGATGTGAACAGGGCCTTAGTGAATCAACCCACCAGCCCTGATTCTGCAAGCTGCAACATTACTTAAAGAGGCACTTTAATTTGTTAAAACAAACAAGTAGAGGTCAGCAGTTACCAATACCCAATAACCAGCCTGTGATATTCAGCACTGTCTTCCTCGGAGCTTTCTTGGATATGGAAGCCAGTTTTGATTTCCCAAAGTTTCAGAGCCAGCTTCCCAGTGCGCATGCGAGAGTTACAGCAGTGCTGTGGGACACGTGCTGCAGCCTCCATGTGACGTGTTCCAGGAGGTTACAGGTGGTGGGGTGCAAACTACCTATATGAGAATTTTGGAATTGGAAATTCTTCTTCCAGGGAAAAAATAAAAACACGCCACATTTGTTAAAGGAGTGAGGGAGGACAGGAACTTTCATTTTTAAGTGAAGGTTCACTTTAAGAAGGGCTAAATGGTGCTTAAAATTATTTTTTTTTTTTTTAGTTATTCCATTCCAGCCCACCCTTGCCGTCTATCCATGGGAGAGAATGTCATGCTGCACTCCTGGTGCCTCCTGGTATATATACATCACATCTCCCTGAAGAATAGGCTTCCATTCAGCAGATAGGGGGAAGAGAGGGTGGGCTTGGTAGTGTGTCGTTGGGAGCTGGCTGCTGATCCCAGTAAAGGCAGCCAGTTCCTGATGACATCACAAAAGAAGATGGCAGTGTGGGACCCAGGCAGTGGCAGTGTGAAGCATATTGCAGTAAGACATTGCTAGATTCGCTGAGCAGGTATTTGAACTGAGGTCAAACCAGTAATTAAAGCAGAACTAAACCCATCAATTTACCAGTTTTCCAAAGCAGTTGCCTTCAAGGCATGCCATGAAATGTAACTTCCACATTGGCTTGTGCTCTCTACTGTCAAGCTACCAAATGGGTACTTTTTAGCACATCTTAAGTGACATTACAGCCTAATGAATTAAGGCCACTGGCTCAGTAGACATTTGCATAGCCCCATCATTTCTTATTTTCCACAGCTATTTTACCATCAATAACACAAAAGCAAAAGGGATACTTTAATGCTTAGCATCCTGTTGCCCCATGCTTTTAATAAATTTATAAAGTGATTTTCCCTGGACTAAAGTCAGCATGGCCATAAATACTCCAGTTGGGATGAAAATGCCACACTCTAAGATTGGGGTTTTGTAAGTGTTTCCTGTTAATACACTGATTTGGCCTAAAGTACAATATAATAGTTTACGGCAATACCACAAATAACATGTAACAGTATGAATTTGAAAGCAGATCAGTCGCCAGTACTGGCTGAAAATCTCTAGTCACTTGACACTGATAATGGAAGGAACAGGATGGCGTTTTGGCCGTAGTGAGTCCGTGAACCACGCTTGCACGTCCCATTCTTCTTAATGCCAACAAACCAGTTCAAATCAGAGTATTTCTTTGACTTGTATGTATTGTAGTTATTCTCCTCTATAGTCTCCAAAAACAGGCATTCCTCATTCACTGTCATCTTGGAAAAGAAAGAGAAAAAAAAGAACGGAGTTTATTTCTTGTGGGAAACTAAACTTTAATGTTATATATAGAGGAATTGGATGGCAATTCTGAAGGAAAGATTCTGGCTAAGCAAATGATGCTTTTGGTCTGCACTTGAAACCGATGCTTCCCTGGCCTCACTACTGTGGCTCTGTCTGGAATGTCTTTAAAATATGCTTCGGCTGCAGATTTCTGTCACCATAGGAGGTGCTTTGTTATTAATGAAACCACTTTTGATCATTGTAACGGTCTTCTCACAACTGATACACATAATACATGTGAATTATTACGTTCGGCATAGGGTTTATTCATTATATATTTTTTTGTCTGCATTTAGAATTACTTCTAGTAAAGTTACAAATAGCATTTAAGAGAATAGTCCATTCTCCCCCAGCCAGAAGCGTGATTACAGACTATTGGGCCTCATAGCAAAATTTTGATTTGCGCATACTTGATCGTAAAGTATGCCTAAATTAAGGACAGATAGCAGATAAAAGATATCAGTATACTTAACATTCTATTAGGGGACAATGCTGTGAATACAAGTTGCCAGGGAAGAGAGGGTAGCAAAGCAGGAAATTAATTTTTAACCTGCAATTTTCCCCAGTAATCCACTAGACGTCCCAGGCATCAACTTTTTAAAGGCCTTGGCCTTGGCATCAACTCAAAAAATTTCACCCCTTTCACCTCCACAGCAAGCATGTCCTGGAAGTCTGATAGCTAATGAAAATTGTAAACCAAAAAACAAGATTTTTAGTAGCAATAATATCAGCAATAAAGGAATTATTAAAGTGGAAATTTGGCTTAAAAGCCTAAAAATTGTTTGCAAGTAGGCTTTTACTGTAGAAGGCAGTCTCTTCCACAGTAAAAGCACTTTTTCTGACTACCAGCATTGCTTCCTCATAATGTACACTGAGCTTTGCATGTGCATCTTAAAGTGTTACTAAACCCACAACAGTAAAATCAGTCTGTATATGCAGTAAAGCATGCTTGTTATACTCACTGTGGAACCTAAGGGGTTAATGCTCTGCATTGTGTAAAAAGGCCATTTCATCCTTTCTTCTCTGTTTCTCCCCTTTTTCAAGGAACCACCTCTTATCTCCTGATGAGACAGACTGAACTGTAGGCATTTGCACATGATCAGTTTGGTGTGTATTGCTTGAAAGGTTTTTTCTTTTCTTGGTAGAGTGCATGTGATCAACACAGGGCCAATCAGCACTGGTCAGACAGAGGTCAGGGGTTTTACATCCTCCTAGAGCAGAAAGAATACTCCTCTTACAAGCTTTAGCTAGTGCCGGGCCCGACACTGATAGAAGTCACAAGACTGCTCTAACCTCTGATGAGAAAAGGTATTTAGCAGTTTATATTTACTAAAATAATTGTATTTCCATGTTGTGTGTACTGTGGAAGACCAGATATAGTGGATGCAGGGTCCTGGGTTTAGTAACACTTTAATGTACATTGTCAGCATTTCACACTAGCTAACCAAGATGGCCAAAGGCACTGAACCCAGAAAAAGATGTCAGCAGAAATGAATTTTTTTTTATTGCTTTCCAAGTTTCTTATACAGCACAGGCCAGCATGCTGAAATTCATCCTGTATGCCTAACACTTACTGCCCAACACTAAAGTTTGTAGTTCTGTGGTGGAGCCCCTGAAACTCATATCAGCCCCACCCATCCCCAACATCACAGGTTGGACTTGACAGTTGCACTCTCTCATTGCAGCCGTACCCTGCCGGCTTGTTCACCAATCCTTGGCTATGCTAGATGTTCACATTGCTGCAGGTCCTGCTCAGCTGCACTCATTTCTTATCCATCTGATGCTTACATTCTTGTCTCGGCTCCTGTATTCTGGTAATCAAGATTTTAGAAAGTAAGTGTATGTTTTCTCGGTGTCTTTGTGGTTTAACTAACTTCTGAATCCTGCACTCTGCATGAAATGCATTCCTGAATCCTGCACTCTGTATGAAATGTACTCCTGAACCCTGCACTCTGTATGAAACGCACTCCTGAACCCTGCACTCTGTACGAAACGCACTCCTGAATTCTGCACTCTGTACGAAACGCACTCCTGAATTCTGCACTCTGTACGAAACGCACTCCTGAATTCTGCACTCTGTATGAAACGTACTCCTGAACCCTGCACTCTGTACGAAACGCACTCCTGAACCCTGCACTCTGTACGAAACGCACTCCTGAATTCTGCACTCTGTATGAAACTCACTCCTGAACCCTGCACTCTGTACGAAACGCACTCCTGAATCCTGCACTCTGTACGAAACGCACTCCTGAACCCTGCACTCTGTATGAAACACACTCCTGAACCCTGCACTCTGTATGAAACGCACTCCTGAATCCTGCACTCTGTACGAAACGCACTCCTGAATCCTGCACTCTGTATGAAACGCACTCCTGAATCCTGCACTCTGTATGAAACGCACTCCTGAATCCTGCTCTCTGTGGTAATGCATTCCTGAATCCTTCCACACTTTGTGTAACACACTCTTCCTCAGTTTGTGCAAAACCATTTGTAATGAATGCTTGGTTTTCTTTTTTTTTTTAAATGATTGTGCTGGGGTTTGTGTCCATGAGACCCCTGTGGCACAGCAATCAAAGCATATTTTAGAAGTAAGAAAGCACGGATTTTGTTTAACCTCTCCCTTTAGGCACCTTCCACTGTTAAGCATTTGGCCACACCCATTTTAACCACACTACGCATGCCACAGGCCACTTCCTTCCTCAAGTGTCCCTCATTCTGAAGTTCAAAAGTTGGGAGGTATGACATATCCATTATATCAGTGGACATTAGTGTACAATAAATCAGTTTCTGTACAGTATCTGCACCTGTAGTACAAAGCACTTTAGAAAACTTGTTGATTTACTAAAACTGGAGAGTGCAAAATCTGGTAGAAACCAGATCGAAACCAATCAGCTTCCAGTTTTTTTTCTTTTGTCAAAGTTTTATTGAACAAGCTGAAGTTAAAAGCTGATTGGATACCATGCAAAACCCACACCAGATTTTGCACTCTTCAGTTTTAGTAAATCAACCCTATTTCATTTGATGTGGTGCGCTGCATTGCCAAAAAATACTAAAGGTTTTTTTTTTTGCACATTAAAGTGCATTGCCATTCTATTCAAAGTTAACAGGCTGCTTCAGTGCATAAAAACTTATTGCTTTAATACATTTATTTTAACACAAGCCATACTGTAAATGGGCTGCCCAACAATACAGTACTGGATATGTGTGGCTTTCAGATGCACACATTTTTTTTAAGTTTTATTTGCCCCAACAGCCTCCCAACTTGTCCCCCTCCCACCACCAGGCCCCATAGCAGCTGCCTGTATATGTTTCTAAAAAGGTCATTGCAATATATTTCTAAAGGGTGTTACTTGATACTTACTGATCCATATAAAAGGCCATTTTCATTCATAGCCAAGTAATTCTCAGTATCAGCATTCTTGATATAAACCACACCAATGCTTTCTGTGCTTAGCTGCAACTGAACTAAAAGAGAAAATGTTATTCTAATGATACCAAAGTACAGAAGAGAAACATATTTGTTAGAAGTATTTCAGTAAAATAATAATAGATTTTGTAAAAAATCTAGGCAGAGGTAGAGTGTTGTCAGCAACAGCCCCACGTCTTCTAGTTGTTTTCTAAACTAGTTGGGAAAAGTAAGAAATCTTTTGAAAATAAAATATGCACTAAACTCTAAACTATAATAAAATATGCACTAAACTCCTATAGTTTGCTGCATGGAGAACAAGGAAAATATATATCTATGTACAATATATAAAAGTCCATCTCCCACCATTTTAAAGATTAAAGCTCAGTGTGTGACATTGTCTGTGCTTTGCCTATGTAGACCATCTGCAGGGTGGTTGTGTTTTACAGACTACACATTTTGTGGGAGGGGTCTACCGCACCCATGCACTAGGGGTACCTTTGCCAGAGGCATGCTCACCGATGCCCAGAAACAGGCAGGAACTGCGGTCATGTGCACAGTCTAACATTAAGTCTAGGTTCACACCTATGCAGGTTGCGTTTGAGATGTTTCTGCATTGCGTTTTGCATTTTTTGCACACTTGTGTTTTTGATGCGTTTTGCCTTTTTTGTTTCCTTTTTTTTCTTGTTGCTAGGCAATACATGCTTTTCTGCAGCATTTCCATTGAAGTATAAAGAAACAAAAACAAAACTTCTTGAATTTAAAAAAAGTCACTAACCCTTTCCAAAAAACGCACTGGGTGAAAACGCACAGGTGTGAACATGTCCCATAGGAAATTATGTAAAATGGACTGTACTGCGTTTCTGGAAAACGCTGCAGAAAATGCTTAGGTGTCTCCCAACTTAAAGATGAGTGGGTGCTGCATGCAGAATGTAGGTGAGTTCCTGAGAAAGTGTTGCCCTATAGCTCTACATCCATTAACTATTATGTGTTGCATTCAGGGTGGTGGCTGGAGTGCCACCACCTCCACCAGCCAGTGTACCTCTGTTACCTCACTCCCAGTAACAGAATGGGCTCCCGCCGCATACCTGGCACCGATCTCATGTGTGTCCCATATTAACTCTTCAATACCATACAGTTAGGCTGAGGACCTCCGTAACATTAGTTTGCTCCCCAGTTGCTGTGGGAGATGTACTGCTAGGGAGGGAGCACAAATAGCACCCTCCTAGTACCAGAGGACACCTCACCCATGTACCAAACCTCGACTGGTTGTTTAGTATCTTAGACATTACAAATGGTAACAACCTTGTTCTTCTTTAACCACTTGAAGATTCATGACCAGGCCATTTCTTGCTATACAACACTGCGTTACTTTAACCAACAACTGTGCGATCATGCAACACTTTACATAAATTTAATTTATGTAATTTTTTTCCCACAAATAGAGATTTTTTTTTTGATCGCCACTGGGTTTTTTTTGTGCTATGAACAAAAAAAGACCGACAATTTGAAAAAAAAAAATATATATTTTACTTTCTGCTATAAAACATATCGAATAAAAAATAAAAAAAATCAATTTTCTTCATAAATTTAGGCCAATATGTATTCTGACACATATTTTTGGAAAAAAAAATCCAATAAGCATATAGTATATTGATTGGTTTGAGCAAACATTATAGTGGCTACAAACTATGGTATATATATACTGGAATTTTTTTTTTATACTAGTAATGGCGGTGATCAGCAACTTATAGTGGGACTGCGATATTACAGTGGACAATCTGACACTAACTTTGTGGGAATCAGTGACACTAATACAGTGATCAGTGATAAAAATAAACACTGTGATTGTACTAATGACATTGGCTGGGAAGGGTTTAAATATCTAGGGTGATCAAACAGTTAACTGTATGCCTAATCAGTGTTTAAATGTGTACTATATGGTGTTTTTATGTGCTGGATTTTATTCCCTGCTTTGCAGGGAAACCAAATCCAGCACATCGCTGCTAACAGGACACAGCCCTGCCTTGTTTACATAGGCAGGGCTGTGTTCTGTCTCTCTCCCCGCCGATCAGTGTGTGCCAGCAGTCCTCCATTAGCCAGCACCTGCTGATTGGCTTCTGCCTGTATGGAAAGTTCCCCCACACCCTTTTTTGTTTATTTTTTTGTTTTGTTGTTTTTGTTTGTCTTCCATTTCTTATTCCTAATGGTTTAATATATTTTAATCAACTTCCTATATTGGGGGGCCTTTCCCTCCTTTCTTTTTTATGTCTGCTTTTATGGTGCATATGGGGATGAATTGGACTATTCATGAACCTATATTAATATGGTAAAGAGTATAGAAAAAAAAAGCTTTACCCATTATACTTGATGTTATTATCCTCTTTACACCCTAAAGAAGCTAACTTATAATCCTGTAATATTGAAATTTCTGCTATCTCGAAAAGGGGGATTTGAGGGTAGATCACAGTGGTTGTGCCCTATAGGGTCAGGAACAAGAGATGGCAACCAGGCACCTGCTGGCCTGTCATTTTAACAGACATAAGAGGCAGCCATGTATATGTTGCTAAACATAACTGCTAAAAACCCATAAATACAATATGCATATCTAGTACCAGCGGCAGATAGTCCATCTTTTGTTTGCTGGTACAACGCAGGCATTCCATAGAGAAATTACAGTACGTTTTGTAGAAGAAACAAATTGCAGTACAGGGTAACAGTAGACAGAAAATGCTAATTTTGCACTCCCTGCTTTAGTAAAGATAGAGTTCTCAAGAACTGATATAAGGACAAGCACAGTAGGAAGCCAGGGCATGACAGGTCTGTCTGGATCTTAGTTGATAACGACTGAGTCGGACATGACTGACTTTGGAGCGTCCTAGTAAAGTAAATTAAAAATATAAACAAAAATCATTACATTGAATAAAGCTAAAAATAAATGTAACAGGCATGCTGTCACTGAGCTATCCAGGCTATCCATAGACTAGAATGTAAAGTATTAGTAATGCAATTCCTTTTTTGGCCACAAGATGGAGATATAGAGATGCTGACCTGTCTTTCCTGAGCCATCTTGAAACACAAAGAACTCTGGGAAGTGTAGTCTTGTGAGCAGCATCGGGACATTGTATTTGCTGAAGTTAAACTGTATCTCCCAGAAGCCCTGGAGCACAGGTGGATTTTCAAAAAGAAAAGATGGGGGTTCCAGATGGGGGTCTCAGGTGTTAGATTGAGTGCAGCCATCTGTACCGCTCGCTTCAGGTTACCATGGGAAACACAGTGCCGTTGACCTATTGTACCAGTCTCGTTCTGCTACAGCCAGGTTGTCACAAGTGATTCTGTATCATCATTCTACTGTGACAGTCCTGCTGCACTACCGCCAAACGGCATCAGTGAGATCTATGCCCACTATTCATCACAGGGGCCCCTCCTCCATCACCACAGTCTGTCCACCTGATCCCAGGGAGTTGGTGTGCAGGTGATAGACCCACCACTGTTCTATTGCTGACACTATACACACCATTAAGAGAGTTAAAGTGTTACTAAACCCAGGACCCTGCATTCACTATATCTGATCTCCCACAGTACACAGAACATGGAAGTGCAATTATTTTAGTAAATATAAACTGCTAAATCCATTTTCTCATCAGCAGTTAGAGCACTCTTGTGACTTCTGTCAGTGTCCAGCCCAGCACTAGCTAAAGCTTGTAGGAGGAGTTTTTTTTCTGCTCAAGGAGGATGAAAATCCCCTGACCTCTGTCTCGACAGTGCTGATTGGCCCTGTGCTGATCACATGCATTCTCCCAAGAAAAAAAAAAACCTCTCTACCAATATACACCAAACTGAGCATGTGCATGCCTACGGTTTAGTCGGGAGATAAGTGGTGGCCGCTTGAAAAAGGGGAGGAACAGAGAAGAAAAGATCAAACAGCCTTTTTACACAATGCAGAGGATTAACCCCTTAGGTTCCACAGTGAGTATAACAAGCATGCTTTACTGCATATACAGACTGATTTACTGTTGTGGGTTTAGTAACACTTTAAGTCATATTCACATTTTCCCCAAAACTCTGTTGGAAATTTCCATTTAACGATTGGCCTGCCTGGTTGCCCCATTCCAACTTTAACCTACACTTGACTCAATTTTGCTGCCCTGCACAATAATATACCAGTGCATAACTTCCAACTCACTGTGTGCAGGATTGCTAACCTTCACTAAGTGCGCCAATGACACCAAGGGCTGCACCATAGCCGGCAAAAGACTACCACTGGGTTTATGTTGCTTAGGTCAGAAGTTCCATTCATTGAATCTCTGGGCATATTGCCAGTTTGTTTCTTGTGTTTATTATATACTGTGCTGTAATACCCTTTCTATTTTCCTTTCGAGAGATAATATATACAGATATCTACTGCAAAACAGTAGATTTCAGGGTGATCGGTACAGTGAAAATACCTCCCCACTTTGTGTAAGGAGGGGTAACCTGAGGTGTCAGAGGGGTTGAGGCCTTAAACTATGTCTGAGTAAGAAAAAAGAATCCCACTTGTTAGCAGCTCCTGTGGGGGTAGTGTTACATAAAGAAAAAAGCAGTGAAGTTCAACCTTCAGGTCACAAGGACAAGAAACCCTAGTTGCTCCATGCAGATTAGAAAAAAATAATAAATATTTTCAGAATGTTGAAAACCCTTCTTCCAACTTTCAAGCATAACCACTTTTTGTAGAACTTGCATAGAATAAATGGGTATTACTTCTCCGAATTACAGGTTTGCCACTGTACATATATATCTTGCAGAATTGGTTTACAGTGTTCTCCCCCTTCTATCACCTACTACTTACACTCATGACCATTCATACATTTTAATGTTACCAGTCAAAATTGCGTAGCCATCTAGTATTCTGTATGCCAATTTGTCTTCCTGAACCCAAGAAATCCCAAAGTGAGCATCTCTCCATTGAAAAATACCCCAGGACAAATAGAGGAGTGAATCCCCCCACCCCCATTGGCGTTGCAAACAACAGTAAAAAAACTAACAGGGGTTGTAATCACATTCTCACTCTGTCCAAAATGAAAAATATAATTTTGACTTGATACCAGTTAAGAAACAGCTTATTTTCTACTTTTGCCTATAACCTTACTGTTGAGGTCATCTCGGTCTCTTGTTCCATCCACCACTCCATCTGGAAGTATGCGCAAGAAGTATCCTCCATTTCTGCAGTATAGAAGCTTTGGTTGCTTGTAGTTTCCCATTGGGAGGTTAAACTTCTCAGTCACAGCACTGAAAGTGGTGATATCCCCTTCTGCCATCCTTCGTACTCTCCCAGCAATGCTGGGCTTTCAGCACTGTAAGACAGCAACAAGCAATGGCAGACTTTATTTCAATGTTTCTTACAGTAGAACTATAGGCAAAACTTTTTTTTCTCATTTTGGATAGTGTAAGAGGGTTATAACAGTATTTTTTTTTTTGCCATCTGTGTCCCATTGGGGAGATTTCCTTTCACTTCCTGTTGTATAGTCAAAACAGGAAGTGAGAGGAAATCCCTGAAAATAAAGGGAATCCATTGGGACCCTCCAGGTTACCAGAAATAGTGTCCCCATTGGTAGATTTCTAGTGACAGCCCAAAATTTGGGATTTGTTTTCACTTTCAATGATAATGGTAAACACAACAAACCTAACAGGTGTTCTAATCCATCTCCATTCTATCCAAACTTAAAGAAAAGTTTTGCCTTTAGTTATACTTTAATCATGATATGTCAAATACGGCTTTTTAGTTTGGATTACTCTATGGCATTTTCAGCAAGGAACAAGTCTTCTGGACAATTTAGAAATGTTAAAGCGGAACTATACTCAGCTCAAATCCAGCGACGCACTGTCCCTGAGCTCCCCATCCAGCTGTTGACATCTTCAGGTCCCAAATGAGGCCACGCCACTGTCATTGGCCGGGTGGGGATGACAACACTCGTGACACACATGCATGAGAGTTCCATCAAATTAGGCATTGCCGGATCTGAACATTAAGATGCACTGCACAGCTCACTATACATGGGCAGACAGGCAGGTTGGTAACTTTAATGCAAAAGAAACAAAGCATGTCTCATCTGCATTAAAAATCTTGCCTGTAATCCCATTTTTAATTTTTTACCTAAAGTTCCACTTTAAGTCAACAGTCCCCTTCTGTCCATTGTAAAAAAAAAAAAAAAGTTAGTGTTACACCCTCACCTGTAAATTTGCAAAAATGTAGGCCCTGTTGGGGAACATCACCCCTACCAATGGTACAACTCTGCACAGCCAAGCTCTCAATGTCACTACATAGGTTGGTGTTGCAACCTCAACTGGATCCTCCGCAGTAGTTTGGGACACTAGCAGGAAAATCTCCCACACACTTGGCACAGCTATAACATGCAGAGCCTGGCTATTATAGCCAAGCTTCCAAGCTCATATAAAATGAATTCTCAATACATTTCTACTAAAGGGCAAGTGCTGTAACATTTCTCTGTCCTGTGGCTATTAGTGGCGTTTACGAAAAGTTGTATCAACTGCCCTCTAGTGGATTTTCAATCATATACGTGAAATATAATTTTTGTGTTCATCATAGCAAGTTTTATTGCCCAGACACTCATTTTGCTCAACATTTTAATCCCAACATATTTATCAAGTTAAACCAGATTTCTTTCCTTCACACTAATTCTCTTCAAAAAGCTATACTGCAAGAACAGGTGCATTTCTAAGGACAAATCTCCAAAATACTGTAATGTTGTTGTCATAATGAGCTTAGATAGCATATGGTTGCAACTGACAAAACAGTTTTTCTTTTAGATATATATATATATTTTTTGACTTTCAAAATGTCATATGATTTTACAAGGTTTTCTAATAAAACAGCTATTTGTATTCATTTGCCAGATTTGCACATCAAATAAATAGACCTTTATACATTTTTAAAATGACACAGGTACCAAATGTTCATCTGTCACATTAAGCTACCATAATGCTGGAATTGGGGTTTAGAGTGATCACATACAAATTAAATGATCCATTTCCCCTTTAAAACACTGTAAATAAATGGGGAACGTAAATGGCATCTTGCGCTTTAACCATTTGTCTACCGCAGCAATTTTTTCATTTTTTTGTACACGTTAAAATCTGTATTGTTTGCTACAAATTACTGTAAATCCCCACAAAATTATATATTTTCTGAAAGCAGAGACTCTGGAGAATTAAATGGTGGTATTTGCAAATTTTCTATTTTTCATGATAATTGCACTGTTATTTATCAAATGTATATTTCAGGAAAAAATGCACTAAAATTAATTTTGGTGCAAAAAAAGACAATATTGTGCTATTTTTTTCTTTGAAAAATATAAAAGGTAGGGTTGCATCGAGTAAACTGACCAGATATGTCCAGTTTTAAAATTGGAGAATTTTGGGTACCATAGTTTTTCCACGGATGAGGGCAAAGATGATGCCTACACCCCTTTACAGATCATCAGTTTAGAGTTAACCATGAGCTATGGTCCTAGAATTATTGGTTTCAATTTGGCATTTGCGGTGATACCTCACATGTGTGGTATCATCACAATTTACATATGCATGCGGGACCTATGTTCATGTTTGTCTTTGCGCATGAGCTTGGGGAGGGGGTGTGACATGACTAACCTTTACATATAGGTGCTCAATATATGCTGCACTTTTTATATATGGGTTGTGTGCAGGGGTGACAGAGGATGCTTTGATTTTTTTTAATTATTTTTATTTATTTTATACAATTCTCTTTTTACACTTTTTTTTTTTCTTTATTGCCATCATAAGGGGGCTACAAAACCCCCTATGTGTTAGCATGGACAGGTGATGGGTCCGCTTTATGGAGACATTGGGGAACCACTATGACCCACTATGTCTCCCCTGCCCTCGAATGCAGTTATTCAATCACAGATTGCTCTGGAAAAGCTGCATGCTTGGCTACACTAGCTGGGGAATGACAGCTGTGACCCCAGGAGTGATGTAATAACACATCGCTTTCAGGGTCTCTAGTCGCAGGAGGGAATGGGGAAAGGAGGTTTCCAAAGTTCTTCCTGCTTACTCTGGGGAAGCCGTTTCTCAAGGACCCCTTTTGAAAGTCCCATAAATGTGATTGGGCAGCTCGCTTAAAGCTGGTATGAAGCTCACAGCGGAGGTAACAGCTGTGAACTTGATTAACCACTTGTCTACCATGATGTTTATAAACGTATATTGATAGACAAGTGGTTAATCACAAACTGTTCAAATATTTATAGAATATAATGCAAAATATAACATACTTGCCTAAAAGCTTTGTTGGCATTGGTGACCACTAAAGGTAGGAGACTACCACCCACCTCACATCCTGATGTGTCAGTCTGTGTAACTGCCTTCCTCTCCGAGAGGAGATAATGTCCTATTTTTAAGATACTAATTCTATTTGCTGTCACAATCTGCAGGGCTAGTGAGGTCCAAAGGTTGGCAGATTTATAAGCACTTCCTTTTCTTTGTTTTTCACATTGTATGGGTAAGGTGGTATTTGCTGAATCTCTAGCTTGCCTACACGAGCACAAACTCAAAACCAGTCACTCCATTTCAGGTATAATTTAATAAATATTGCAGTCCAGAAAAAGGTCAGTTTAGGGGGGAGTAAATCACAAATTAATGCTTAATTTTCCTTTCTAGTGGTGGGCGGCAGTTCAGCTTATATGAACCAAATCATAATATACAGCAAAAAGGTCCTGTGCAGAGTATACTAAACTGAGAGAGGCACAAATTATAATTCACTCTATTTCCATTAGCCAAATACCTTGTACATAAGATACCTGCTGAATTGTGCAGCTGTATGCCATTTCTAGGTTTGCAAGTGAGGGGGATTTAATAATCACTTAAGAACCAGAGCATTTTTTTTTCATTTCAGCAGTCTTTGTTCTGCACATATTTGTTGGGGGTTTTTGAGAACAGACAGAGCTTTACTTTGCTAGCAAATTTGGATACATGTGTAGCACCCTCCTAGGTAGGTGCAAGGATAGATAGATAAGATTGATTGATTAGATAGCTAGGATAGATAGATTAGCGCCTTCCCGACTGCCCTATAGCAGCTATACTTCTACACGGCGGCACAGATGCGCAAAATTACATATATAATTATCTTACGGAAATGCAGGGGTGCCAAATATTTTTGACCATGATTGTGTCCCTGACTGATCATGACTGTGTGTGTGTATATACTGTATATGTGCTTTTGCAGTTCCAGGTAGGGAGTGTGTGCGCGCTGCCATTCACGGCCTTGGCTGTCAATTACCAGTTCTCAGTGACTGATTACTTGCCAACACCCAGTGATCGCTGAGTATCTCTGATGGGGGAGAGACCTGTGTATAAACAACACAGATCTCTCCCCTGTCAGCTCCTGCACACTGCAGAGCCATACAAACCAGTGTGCTTATAGTGGAAAGCACTCACACAGCATACTGTGAAACAGCACACAGTTAACCCTTTGATCGCCCCAGATGTTAACCCCTTCCTATCCAGTGCCATTAGTACAGTGTCAGTGCTTATTATTAACACTGATCACTGTGTTGGTGTCAGTGCGGATGTCATCCCCAGTGTCAGAATGCTATAAGACTGATCGCTGATTGCCGCCATTACTAGTAAAAAAATAAATAAATTCCAGTATATATACCACCATTTGTAAGCGCTACAACTTTCATGTAAACCACTGAATTTACACGTATTGGGATTTTTTTTACATGTGGACCTGTAGCAGAATACATTTTGGCCTAAATTTATGACGAAATTTAATTTTTTAAATAGTTTTATGGACATGTTTAATAGCAAAAAGTCAAAAATACTGTTTTTTGTTTCTCAAAATTGTCGGTCATTTTGTATATAGTGCAAACAATAAAAAATGCACAGGAGATCAAATACCACCAAAAGAAAGCTCAATTTATGAGGAAAAAAGGACATACATTTAATTTGGGTGCAGCATTTCATGACCGCGCAATTGTCAGTTAAAGTAACGCAGCACCGTATCACAAAAAATGGCCTGGTCAGGAAGGGGGGTAAATCCTCAGGAGGGCAAGTGGTTACAAAGCAGTCCACATCACTTCTTAATTCAGTGATATATTAATATATCCATACTTCTGCAATCTATTTGCTAACATTTGTGACAAATGTGCAAAAACAGGCAAACCTTTGCATATTGGTTGCAAAACATGAAATGGCAATTACCTTCCTGAATGTCCCCCAGTGTATGTCCTAGAGACCTTCCCTGCTGAACTAGCACCCAGCTGCAGAGTATAGTTATGGG